ACACTGATCAGACGATGATGCATATATGCTATGCCTTTACTATCTTGGAGGGGTTTTGAATGATTGGACTGTAAGGGAAACAAGTTGGACATTTTGCCCCACCTGTAAAGACTCCCACAAGACCAGGAAGTGTTCTCTCTCAACGTGATTTGCTGCAGCGTGGACCATGTGATCCAGAGCGTCCCTGACTGTGTCCCACGGCAGAGTGGCGTCTGGGCAGGTCGAGGGTCCGAGCTTACGCAAAGCTACAGGGAAAGCCTGTCAGGATGGGTGAAGAGAAACAGGTCATTAAGCAATTAAACATATTTGTACTGTACGTTTTGTTGTCCACCTGGATGGGTACTTTTGTAAATTGTTATTTGTGTAATCTCTAGTATTTTATGCATGTCTCTTAATTAACATTTCCCTTCTTTTTTTTTGCTGTAACAATATAAATGTCCCCTCTGTGAGACTAATAAAGGTATTCTGATTCCTCTGATATAGACTTCCTTTAAGATTAGATAACCTTTAAATGAAAACGATGTTGATCACAGATCGGGGATTCTGCCCCGACCTACTCCTTTGAAACGAAACTCGCCTTTTCAGAGCAGGAGTGAAACAGGTTTCTGACGCTTTTGCACATTTCGAACAGCAGTTGCCCTGCTCCCTCCGCCTTGTCGGGGTGCTGCTGGAGGTCTGAGAAAACATGATTCAGCAGGCCATCGAGATCTGGAACCTGTGTGACACAATGGGACATCAAAAACTAAAATACTCAAATATTTAACACAAAAGCTTATGGATTTCAACTTTACAACAGAAGAAAGGAAAGCCCTAAGTTCACGTTTGACTCAAATAACTCACCTTTCTCATCAAAAAAGAGAAGCTCTCGGCTGCAAATTTGCGGATGTGTTCTTTCTTGTGCTCCAGCAGTGTGCTGTATAAACTGTAGGGGGGAAGTAATAATAAGTGATTGCTACAAAAGGTAAAAACACCCCACAAAGCATCCACAGAGTAAATCTATTTTTCTCACCTGTAGATTTTGGTCATGTCCTTCACCATTAGCCTCCATAGGTACTTGTAGAGGTAAGAGAGACAGCTGAAAGCCCACTCCAAGACTTCTGTGTCCTTGGTTTCCAGAACGGAGGCGATCAGAACGAAGAAGTCGGGGAAGTGGGGGTAGAAGTCAGTCTGCAGGTCTCTGGCCAGCTGCACCACCAGGCTGTAGGGCGGAGGAGAGACTCAGCTACTACATCAACTCATTATTCAACAACATTTTTGATCCTCTGGTATACATAAGGCCACTTACTCCAGCAGTGGTTCTGAGGCCAGACTGTTCTTGACAGCTAAGTGTGTTTTCAGACTCTCCACTATTGTCTTCTGATGGAAAACCAACAGGTTGAATGACTGGCTCTGGTTGGAAACCTCTTTCAAAAATGCACCTGTGGAAGAAAGACAGTCGTTTTACATTCACTACAAATGCACAACATCTCTTCTCAAGTTAAGAAGTAGATACATTAAGCTATTTCCTAACATGTCAGATACTACAGAAGGACAGTATTGCATATACTCTGGGATTTATTTGATTGTATACATACTGAAATGCTCTGTCAAGTTGAGGTCTCTCCATTTTGTCAGTCCTTCAGAGAAATATGTTTCTACTTCCTGCAAAAAATAACAAACAGGCCATCATCAATCAGATGCAAATGGTTAGGAAAAGCTTACTATATGGATGAATGTTGTCACAATTACTGAGTGTACAAACCTCTGCATACGATCCAGTCCTGTCAATACGATGGATGACGTCAATGTTGACATTGGCAAGTCTTTCAGCAAAAGTGAGAAACTGGAAGAAGAAACATCAGATGGGTTTAATGTAGCTAAGTAGTAATGGGACTAAGCGATTTCAGGGTAAATCACATGTTGCCATAACTCATTAAACGGAGGTGAAATGAACAGAGAATCCCTCAATTTGCTTGATCAAAACTAACATATACAATATGACTGTTAATACACTCTTATAGTAGTGTTTTCATCTCCACCACATCCCACTGTAAGCATCATGCTGCAATTAGTCCTCACCTTGTAGGTATTCTCAGATTTGTGATACGAAGACTTGGATTTAATCTTCATCTTTGCCTTTTTGTTTGAAACGTGGATAGTTGTATTCCAGAGTTCGTCTTGAGATTTAAATGATTCATGAAACTAAAGCGTATTTCTTCTCGCGGCTACAACTGTTTACACACACGCCGACACCAGGGCGCAGCCATGTTGAACAATGCATTGTGGGATATTTTTTACTCCGCGTGGTGGGCGAAGAGAAGCGAAGAGGTGAGAGAGAAATCCTCCATTCACTTCCGGCTTCATTCGAGGCTTCGCTCCGTGCTGCCTCTTCGTTCACTGATTTTAAGTAAAATAAACTCCATAGAATAGTATGTCAAAAATACATAAAAACCGACATAGTATAGTACGTCGAAAATACACAAAGACATAGTAAAAGTATGTTGAAAAATGCAAAAAAAAGACTATTTTCGAAAATATACAAAAATGGACATGGTACATGGACATGGTACATGGTATGTTGAAAATATGAAAAAAACGACATAATATAATATGTCGAAAATATTTTTAAAATAGCATCGTATGGTATGTCGAAAATATACAAAAAAACCTATACTTACACTGAACAAAAATATAAACGCAACACTTTTGTTTTTGCTCCCATTTTTCATGAGATGAACTCAAAGATCTAAAACATTTTCTATATACACAAAATAACCATTTCTCTCAAATATTGTTCACAAATCTGAAAAAATCTGTGATAGTGAGCACTTCTCCTTTGCCGAGATAATCCATCCCACCTCACAGGTGTGGCATATCAAGATGCTGATTAGACAGCATGATTATTGCACAGGTGTGCCTTAGGCTGGCCACAATAAAAGGCCACTCTGAAACGTGCAGTTTTGCTTTATTTGGGGGGTCTGGGGGGGTCCGAAAACCAGTCAGTATCTGGTGTGAGGGGTAGGATTAGGGTTAGGGGTAGGGTTAGGGTTAGGGTTAGGGTAATGTTGTGAATTGAGTGGCCTGTGTTCGTCATCCATAACATACGCCTGCCCATACCATAACCCCACCACCACCATGGGCCAATCAATTCGCAACATTACCCTAACCCTAACCCTAACCCTACCCCTAACCCTAATCCTACCCCTCACACCAGATACTGACTGGATTTCGGACCCCCCCAGACCCCCCCAACAAAGCAAAACTGCACGTTTCAGAGTGGCCTTTTATTGTGGCCAGCCTAAGGCACACCTGTGCAATAATCATGTTGTCTAATCAGCATCTTGATATGCCACACCTGTGAGGTGGGATGGATTGTCTCGGCAAAGGAGAAGTGCTCACTATCACAGATTTTTTCAGATTTTTGAACAATATTTGAGAGAAATGGTTATTTTGTGTATGTAGAAAATGTTTTAGATCTTTGAGTTCATCTCATGAAAAATGGGAGCAAAAACAAAAGTGTTGCGTTTATATTTTTGTTCAGTGTAGTATGTCTTAAAGGTCCCCTATTATACTGTTTTTCATCAATATATTATAGGTCTCACAGATATAAAACATGTCTCTGAAGTGTTTGGCTCCAAATACCAAACAGATCATGCATTGCAGCATCCCATAATCCCCTCTGTTTCAGCCCTGTTTCAAAAGTGCTGATTCTGTGTCTGTTACTTAAGATGAAAATAAGGAGCCCCTCCCCACGCCCCTCTGAGAGATATTTGGTTTAAAAAAACACAATGAAAAAAACGTTATGACATCATAAAGTGGCCAAAATCTGATCTGCTCATTTTCAGACAGGTGTTTATATAAATGGATCAGAACAAAAAGAGAGGGGATCTTTCTTCCTGAAACTTTCAGAATCGCTTTTCACAGAAGGGACACATGTTTATGTACAAACGACAAGAAAAAGTGGATTTTGCATAATAGGTGACCTTTAACACTAGGATGGGTCAACATTTCCCCTAATTATAGTATTAGAGGGGAAATGTGCAAAAAAACTTCTTAGTATAGTATGTCAAAAATATCAGAACAAACACATTGTACTGAAAAAGACGACCAAACGTTATCACGCACAATGGAAAAATCTTAATCCCATTGGCTTTTTGTCGATGGAACAAGATGCTAACTTCCTACAAAAATACGTCATCGCTGCTATACTCTATGACGTCATAACTTAAAGAAGAATAAAGAAAACCTCAGTAGTGACATTTCATTTCAAGCAAAGCCTTAAACTGCAGCAACAAGTGAAAAACTAACAGAGAGGAGGAAGAAGTGTTTGTCCTGAAGACTTTCACAAAGTCACAATAGAAATATGTGTGTAACAAATTTGGGAATATGATTTGATACGGCTATATATACGATATATATATACGATATATATATATATGATATCTGTCGACTCAACATGTACCTGAATCATGTAAAACAGCAGTGGGAGCAGGTGAAGTATTATGACACCATCTTAGCAGGTGTTGAGAAAAAAAAGTCCCATTATAAGAAAAAAAAGGAAACCGCTCTTGAGGCTACATAGTATTTTGCGGGGCACCACAGAGGGAATCCTCTCATCTCATCTGCTATCCTCCATTTGCCTTACACCAGCTCCAGTGGCTCATTTGCTTAACCTACTTTTCCTTCCACACACACACACACACACACACACACACACACACACACACACACACACACACACACACACACACACACACACACACACACACACACACACACACACACACACACACACACACACACACACACACACACACACACACACACACACACGCACACACACACACACACACGACAGGTTTCGGTCTCTGGTCCTGCTCTCAGCACAGTGGTGAGTGAGAAGGTGATGTATCAGGACCATTCATCCAAAGAGGATCTGTTTTTACTTGAGTGGAAAACAAGTGGGAGAGTTGGAATAACTTTCTCAAAAGTTATATTTCTAGTTTTAGACATCCACCAAAATGTCAGGAGACTCAGTGGTCGTTGGCTCCTTTGTGGCCGCAGACTATTTGGTGTTTGCTCTCATGCTCCTTGTGTCTGCGGCCGTCGGGGTCTACTATGCCTGGACGGACAGGGGCCAGCAGAGCTCCGGGGATTTCCTAATGGGTGGCCGGAGTCTGACGGCCCTGCCCGTCTCCCTGTCCCTCACCGCCAGCTTCATGTCAGCCATCACTGTGCTGTCCAACCCTGCCGAGGTAAGGTCACAACAGAATCCCATGGGACTCATTTAAAAATATCCTCCTCAAAAGTAATACAGTGTCTGTTTTAGTCTGTAGGAAAAACAATTCTCAATACAAGAACACATATGCAATCTTTGAACTGAAAACGTGTTTATCTTCATACAATATTACACATAGCCACATCAAAATGAACTAGACGAAAGTATAAAATGATGGATCAGAGAAATGGAAACATTTACATATAAGATACACATTTTTCTCATCCCTCTAGGTGTACCGCTACGGAGCCAATATTGGATTTTATGCTCTCTCCTATATATTTACAATGGTGGTCACATCCGAGGTCTTCCTCCCAGTCTTTTACAGGCTGGCCATCACCAGTACATATGAAGTGAGTGTTGTTTGGTTGTTTAGCTGTTCTATTTACAACATCCTGGAATATGTTGGTTCATCTGTAATATATTGGAAAATCTTACCCCGATATTTAACTGCTATTGTCTCACACTAGAGAGCACATCCTGGTTGTAGTCTGAGGTTATTACGGCTCCTATAAATATGTTGAAATATAGATTTGGACCAAATTATAGGATGCGCAATATTTGTGAAAGGCAAATTATGTATTGAATATCATTCTGAATGAAGTATTATGATGCTTCTTAGATGTCCCAGTGTCCAAATGGTATCCTACAGAACATCTTTAGGATGGAATAAAATCAGTCATATGTGTAAATATTTTTTATAAAACTGTATTGTCTGTTCTTTTTTTGTGTCTATGTCATGTATCTGCAAAGTATCTGGAGCTGCGTTTCAACAGAGCAACCCGTCTGCTGGGAACTTTCCTCTTCATCATTCAGACCGTGAGTAAGAAGTCAACATATAATGACGGGCCTTTGAGCTTTCAGGGTGAAACACCAACTCTGATACCCGGGGGTCATTTGTGTCTGTATCGTTTCTCTCAGATCCTCTACACTGGAATCGTCATCTATGCCCCAGCTCTTGCTTTAAACCAAGGTATGTTGGTTTCAGTTAACATTGGTCAGATTCCTGAAACATTCCTCGATGAGGGCACTTAATACTGCTTGGTTTCGCTCACTTGAGTATGTCTGAAAGCCTCCCCCCCCCCCCCCCCCCCTCTCTGCAGTGACTGGGATAGATCTGTGGGGTGCTGTTGTTTCCACAGGTGTGGTCTGTACCTTTTACTGCACAATGGTGTGTAAATCAAATGATGTGCACAACATTAAAATGTCATAAACATCTTATTTTCTATGACATCACTGAGTTTTTCTTAATCATTCTTAGGGCGGTATGAAGGCGGTGGTTTGGACCGATGTGTTTCAGGTAGGCCTCTGGATGAAAAAACAACATAATGAGGGGTTGGTATGGTTCAGGCATTACTGTGAATGTCTCATACCTTTTTGTGGTTGCCAGTGACAACGCTGTTCACCAGCAGCTGACCAGTAGACCACCACAGCAATGACTAATCTCCACCTATACAACACAATATTACATAGTAGACACATTTATTCAAAACACCAACACAACACACTGGTGAAATTAGCGTGACTCCTGGGATAGAAAACAGGGATGATTTTCCTAAAATGATGGAAAATGTCTGCCCCAACAGCTTGGTGTCATGGTTGCAGGCTTCCTGTCTGTCATCATCCGGTCCGTGGTCGTGCAGGGGGGAGTCCTCCCCATCATTTCAGATTCACAACAAGGAGGGAGACTCAACTTTTGGGAGTGAGTATGTGTCAGTATTTAAGTGTGGTAATAGATTAACCACTCAATAAAAGAGGTATTCCAACTATAAGAACTACATATATTGTACTTGTAACGCTTAAACATCTAAACCCCATGTCTTGTCTAAATCAGAGGCTGCATCCTCTTAAGTCGTTGCATTAATGAATTTAAAAGAGACTAAAGGTACTGGTAAACTACCAATCAATTGTTTGATATAGTGTTCTAGCGATCTTCCTCGACCTCTAAAGTCCTTAAATGTCACATGACCTAGTTGTTGGGGAAATATTTTCCAAGGCCCATAACTTTGACCCAGTTTATCAGTTCAAACTGTTCTGACTGAGCACACGCACCTCGTAACCTTGGCTGCTGTGCTCTCAGTGTTCTGTCTCCCTGTTCCTGCCTGTTGGCGTCAGCTGATAGAGGTGTTATCATTCTATCTTGGTATGCAGCATGTTGATGATGCTCTCTGAACTAGCTAAATACATGGGTCTGGGGTAGAGTTCTTCAGAATTGACGTGGCAACTCTACCGTGCAGTCAGATCGTGGCTGCTGTGACTTGTGATGTGAATTCTCCGGCCGAAGCTCCCAAATAAACCATCAGTGTTTGACATCAAAGCTCCTGCTCTTCCCGTGTCTCTTTCCTGAGTCGGTGACTCCCACTGCATTGCTACACAGAAGTTTCCCTTACACTAGTAAATGTGTGTTTCTCAGTGGGGTATGATTCACGTTTCACTTAAGTTTAAACAACCATTTGTTACTGTTTCACTAGCTTTGACACAAGCCCTCTGAGGAGACACACTTTCTGGACCATAACCTTTGGAGGGGCATTTGTGTGGATCAGCATCTATGGGATCAACCAGGCCCAGGTCCAGAGATACATCTCCTGCAAGAGCCTCACACATGCAAGACTGTGAGTACTGTTTTACTGGAAGATTACATTACATTACATTGCATTTGGCTGACGCTTTTATCCAAAGCGACTTACAATAAGTACATTCGACCAGGAAGACACAACCTTGAAGAAAACAGAATCATATAAGTACATCAGGTTTCATAGAGCCAAACATTTCAAGTGCTACTCAACTGGCTTTAGGTAAGCCAGTCCTTTATTAGTATAAAAGTGCTTCGTTAATAGTTCTAACGCTCGAAGTGGAGTCGAAAGAGATGAGTTTTCAGTTTGCGCCGGAAGATGTGCAAGCTATCTGCCGTCCTGATGTCAATGGGGAGCTCATTCCACCATCTTGGAGCCAGGACAGCAAACCCACGTGTTTTCGCCGATGGGAACTTGGGTCCCCCTCGCAGCGAGGGCGCAACGAGTCGTTTGGCTGATGCAGAGCGTAGTGCACGCGCTGGGGTGTACGGTTTAACCATGTCCTGGATGTAGGAAGGGCCAGATCCATTCGCAGCATGGTAAGCAAGTACCATTGTCTTGAAGTGGATTCTAGCAGTTACCGGAAGCCAGTGAAGGGAGCGGAGGAGCGGAGTGGTGTGGGAGAATTTAGGAAGGTTGAAGACCAGGCGAGCCGCTGCATTCTGGATGAGCTGCAGAGGTCGGATGGCACATGCAGGTAGACCAGCCAGGAGGGAGTTGCGGTAGTCTAGGCGTGAGATGACGAGAGCCTGGACCAGAACCTGAGTCGCTTTCTGAGTCAGCTGGGGACGTATCTTCCTGATGTTGTAAAGCGTGTATCTGCAGCAACGGGTTGTAGCAGCGATGTTTGCAGTGAAGGACAGGTTGTTATCTAGGGTCACACCCAGATTCCTTGCAGTCTGAGTCGGGGAAACAACTGAGGTGCCGATGTTGATTGTTAGGTCAAGAGTGGGACAATCTTTTCCCGGGAGGAAGAGCAGCTCAGTCTTGTCAAGGTTGAGCTTGAGGTGGTGAGCAGACATCCACTGAGAGATGTCAGCTAGACAAGCAGAGATGCGTGCAACGACCTGGGTCTCTGAGCGGGGAAAGGACAGAATTAATTGGGTGTCATCAGTGTAGCAGTGGTAAGAAAAACCATGCGGGCTAATGACTGATCCGAGCGAGTTTGTGTACACGGAGAAGAGGAGGGGACCAAGAACAGAGCCCTGAGGGACCCCCGTAGTTAATTGACAAGGGTCGGACTCAGACCCTCTCCAAGTCACCCTGTAGGTACGGTCTTTCAGGTATGAGGTGAGGAGGGAAAGTGCAGAGCCTGAAACTCCAAGTTTTTGGAGAGTGCGAAGGAGGATCTGATGATTCACCGTGTCGAATGCAGCAGACAGGTCCAACAGGATGATGACAGAGGAGAGGGATGCAGTTTTGGCAGTGTGCAGTTCCTCCGTGACAGCAATGAGAGCAGTTTCTGTGGAGTGACCTGCCTTGAAACCAGACTGGTGCGGATCCAGAAGGTTGTTCTGATTGAGATAACAGGAGAGTTGTTTAAAGACAGCGCGTTCAAGTGATTTAGACAGGAACGGGAGGAGAGAGACAGGCCTGTAGTTTATAACATCGGGTTGAGAGTGGGTTTCTTTAGGAGAGGGTTTACTCTTGCCTCCTTGAGACTGTTTGGAAAGTGACCAGAAGTTAGAGAAGTGTTGATGAAATGGGTGAGAAACGGTAGAATATCAGGAGCGATAGTCTGAAGGAGGTTTGAAGGGATAGGGTCCAGAGGACAGGTGGTAGGGCGGGCAGAGGTAATGAGGGTAAGAACCTCACTTGGAGAGAGAGGGGAAAAGGAGGTAAGTGTGTTGGTGGAAGGAGGGTCTGGTGACCCAGCGGTGAGTAAAGGTGAGTCAGAAAAAGAAGAGCGAATATCATCAACCTTTTTTTCAAAGTGGGTAACAAAGTCGCTTGACAGAAGTGAGGAGGGGGGAGGAGCTTTTGGAGGGTCCAAGAGGGTGGAGAAGATGGAAAATAGTTTTTTAGGATTGGAATAGGAAGAGTGGATCTTATCTTGAAAGAAAGTGCTTTTTGCCTGAGAGATCGAAGCAGAGAAAGAGGAGAGGCGAGCTTGATAGGTTAGGAGGTCGTCACGGTGTTTGGATTTCCACCATTTCCGCTCTGCTGCCCTAAGGACGGTTCTATTAGCACGCAGTGCATCATTTAGCCAGGGAGCAGGAGGGGACTGACGAGCCTGCCGAGATGTGAGAGGACAGAGCGAGTCCAGAGTGGATGAGAGAGTAGAGAGGAGAGTTTCTGCAGCAGAGTTTGGAGGCAGGAGATGGAATGAATCAGAGGAAGGGAGGGCTGAGAGCACCGACGAGGCAAAGGTAGAGGGGGAGAGGGAGCGAAGGTTACGGCGGACAAGTGCAGGATGGGAAGAGATTAGTTTGTTATGTTTGGAAAGGGATAGAGAGAATGAAATGAAGAAGTGATCGGATGTGTGGAGCGGGTTTACAGAGAGGTTAGAAGTAGCGCAGTTCCTTGAGAATATGAGATCAAGGACATTGCCAGCTTTATGAGTCGGTGGGGACGGAGACAGTGAGAAAGCAAAGGCGGTTAACAGAGATGTTAGTTCGTCTATCTTCCCCGTCTGGAGGTTGAAGTCTCCGAGAAGTACAGCGGGAGGGCCAGTTTCAGGGATGGGTGAGAGGAGATTATCTAATTCCTCCAAGAAGTCCCCCAAGGCGCCTGGTGGACGGTAGAGAACAACAATGGTTAACTGTATAGGATGGGTTACTGTGACGGCATGGAATTCAAAGGTGGAAGGAGTGAAGAGGGAAAAGCTCCATTTGGGAGAGAGCAGGAGACCAGTGCCACCTCCTCTGCCAGTGGGTCTGGGTGTATGGGAGAAGGAATATGCAGTGGAGAGAGCTGCTGGGGTGGATGTGTTGGATGGAGTAATCCAGGTCTCAGTGAGAGCAAGGAAATCCAGAGACTGCAGGGAGGCGTAGCCAGAGATGAAGTCAGCCTTAGGAATAGCTGACTGGCAATTCCACAGGCCACCAGAAACTAGATGTTGGATCTCAGTGGAGCACGTGGGATATATCGATTAGGAGATACACGGGGCCAGTGATAATTGCGAGAAGACACATGAACAGGAATGGAGAAAATACACATGATTATAGCATGAGGGGCTAGAAAACTAAAGAAAAGATAAATAAGACACCAGCTCAATCAGAGTAGGATTTGCCTCCTCTTTGCCTCCCTCGTGACTCCCGCAGGACTCCAATGTCTTTGTCAGTCTTACTCCCGCAGGACTCCAATGTCTTTGTCAGTCTTCGGCTGTCTGACGCTGAAGCTGACGCTCCAGGAAAGAGCTACCCGAAATGGACGCCTGATTGCTCAGTTCTCACAGCTGTAGGGCCACGGCCCTCTAATTAGTTAACTATCTACAGCTGATGGGCGACAATAGACTGGCCGTGCCTATATTAATGCAGGCTTGAGTGCTGAGACCTGTAAAGCAGGTTTCGCCTGAGCAGATCTGAGATTTAAAATCTCTCAAACGCGATTTAGCCGTTTAAGCTACAATAACAATTTATACAGAGTCGAATAAATGAAACAGACAAGTCTAATTAAACAAGAATATAACTTACAGTGGTTGCTGCGTCAATAGGTAATGTCGTCACCGGGTCCAGATGCACACTGAATTCATCAGATTTTAAATGCGGTATTTAAATGCTTTTTAAGGTACAAAATGACTGAGTCACGCGGTTGTACTTCACGCTATCAATAGACTGGCCGTGCCTATATTAATGCAGGCTTGAGTGCTGAGACCTGTAAAGCAGGTTTCGCCTGAGCAGATCTGAGATTTAAAATCGCTCAAACGCGATTTAGCCGTTTAAGCTACAATAACAATTTATACAGAGTCAAATAAATGAAACGGAGAAGTCTAATTAAACAAGAATATAATTTACAGTGGTTGCTGCGTCAATAGGTAATGTCGTCACCGGGTCCAGATGCACACAGGAAGATACATTTAACTGCTCTTCAAACCAATCATGCAGGGATTATTGCGCTGTAAAAGAGACAACATACGTTTCTATATGTTTCTGTTCATGGGTGTTTCCTTATTTTTCCAGATCTCTGTACATCAACCTGCTGGGCCTCTGGTCCATCTTGCTGTGCTCAGTGTTTGCAGGAATGTGTCTCTTCTCAGTCTATAAGAACTGTGACCCATGGACTGCTGGATTGGTTTCTGCTCCAGATCAGGTACCATGTGAGGCTGAGATATTCTGATGAATGTCTTGAACAGAAAATACAGAGATAGCTGTACAACTAAATAAAGAAAATAGCCAAAATTGTGTCAAAATCTTCCCACTGACTCACATGCACTTCTGTAATCCCTTCCTCTGCAGTTGATGCCTTATTTGGTGATGGACATCCTGCGAAACTACCCTGGCCTTCCTGGTCTGTTTGTTGCAGCTGTATATAGTGGATCTCTCAGGTTAATACAGTAAATATGTATATCATTTTAGATTACTTTAATCAGCATTTCACTACTATAAAGTGTGGTTGTACTGATAACAAGTTGGTGTTTTTCCATCCGCAAGGAATGTGTTTGATTGTTCTTTTTTTCATTTTGCTTTATCAACCCCAGCACAGTGTCTTCCAGCATCAATGCACTGGTTGCAGTGACAGTAGAGGACCTGATCAAACCCTACACTGACATGTCTGAGAAACATCTGTCCTGGATCTCAAAAGGGCTGAGTGAGTGGATAATTTCATGTCCGGCAATTGAGAAGAGTTGTTGAATGGTTAACATCTCAAATGTTTCCCTCATGTTGTCCCTGTTGCAGGTATCATGTTTGGGATTGTATGCATTGGAATGGCCGGACTGGCTTCAGTCATGGGAGGGATCCTGCAGGTGGAGTAGATGTGCTTTGGAGGCTTTGGGAGAAGAAAGGTTATGATTTATAATAGCAATGACTTCATCGACATGTGCTTCTTTATACAGGCAGTCATCAGTATATTTGGCATCCTTGGGGGTCCTCTGCTTGGCGTGTTTACATTGGGTATTCTCTGTCCATTTGCCAACTCCAAAGTAAGTCCTCACCAAAGTGAATTAAAAAACAAATAAGATAATAGAAAAATACTTCATAAATAATTAACCCTTTAAATATTAGGGCTTTAAGAGCATTTGATACTGTTGAGTATTACATTATGGAGTTTTTTGATACAAATCTATGATTGTTTGTATTACCCCATGATAGCACATTCATGCCTACCACCCCTTAAAACATCCATAACCATCTTATGCCTGCTTTTTCGAAAGGTACATTTTTCTTATATTATGTGATGAAAATGTCTTTTAGGGAGCGTTGTCAGGTCTTGTGTCAGGGTTGGTTGTGTCTCTGTGGGTGGGCATCGGAGCCCAGATATACCCCCCGCCCCCTGAGATGAGCCGACCTCTGTCCCTGACCACTGCGGGCTGTAACTTCAGCACCGCAGGCCGCTTCAACTGGACCTCCACTGCTCCGCCAACACAGTCCTCCATCACCACAGTCCCGGTAAATGGCAAGTAAGTGTGTAATTAGATGGTAGTTGACAACTGGTTGAATATATTTGCCCTATTTAGTGTCCTCACTTAGCTAAGAGTAATGGTTACCTAAAAAGATATATAAGAATATAAGATTTCACCCCTTGTTAACGGTTTGGTCCCCCTCCAGGCCTGTGCTGGCAGATAACTGGTACTCTCTGTCCTACCTTTACTTCAGTCCCATTGGAACCATCATAGCTATCAGTGTGGGATTGTTAGTCAGCCTTATGACAGGTAAACAATATAGAATTAGTTTAATCATATACATTTTTCTTAAAGTACTGTTTTTGATGTGCTGTGTTTGTTATTTCAGGAGGCAGGAAGCTGAAAGTGGAATCCAGGCTTACATTAATGAAAGAAGACACAACTGTGTATCACCTATTCAAGTTTTTTAAAGACAGAGTAAGTGCTGCAGCAGTGGATCCAAAACAAAGGCTATCAACTAATAACTAATCATTTATGCTCTTCCCTTTTCTATAGGTTACGAGCCAATCAGAAAAGATTGAAATGACGGGGGACAGAGATAACAAAATTGGTAGCAGTAATCCTGCTTTCTGTGACGTTGAGATGGACTTAACAAAAAGCAGCATTCCAACATAAAATTCAACATGTGTTTTTACACATGTATGAGTGTATATGTATTTTGTATGCGTTTTCAAATCTGGTATAAAAAATAAACACAGGAAAATCAAGGCTGTTTTATGGCTCTTCATTGAGTTAATAGACCAACGTGCAATGACTCATGAGTTTGGAAATCTTGGCTGACTTCTTCCATTTTTATATAAATGATTTTTGCTGTATCCTGCAAAGAGTTACTGATAGAAAATAATAAATATATTTATAAATAAAATCTGATACAAGCAAAGACAGTGAAGAATTGTATAATATTTATTATGACAGGCATCACTGTTGTAGAATACTGCTTGACTTTTATCCAATAGTGCATTGGTACATAGCCATGTACATTGACTATGTATTTACAAATATATATACAGTGAGAATACATTGTACAATATGATTCAGTCAGTCTGATACCTAGACTTCCAGCTGTTTTGAAATGGAAAACCTTTGATATAAACATATACAGTATTCACAATTCAAAACATTGGCATTTAATGAACTTGACTTTACTTGGAAATACAAAAATAAAAGCACAGTCTATAAAAGCTTGATTAATGATCACTTAGTTTCTGCTATTAAATAGATGGACGGGCAACAGGGTTTATTACATTTCTGCAGAGTAATGTGTGCTTGATCTTATTTTTAAAGGCTTGTTTGGGAAAATGCAAAGCATTGCATTATTTGATACATTTAATATAAACTGTACTTTAAGAATAATAATCCGGATCCGTCTATATGTCTGATTTCTTTTCTGGATCAAAATACCTCTTCTTCATAGCTCGATATTTCCTGAGGAAATACAGAGCCTCCAGTTCCTTGATGACAAAGTCCCCTCGAGCCACCAGCTTCTGGATCTTTTCAGGGTCCATCTCGTCCTTATTCTTCATGAAAGCTGACTTCAGGCGCCCTCTGAAGTAAGCTGCTCCCTGGGGGTAGTCTCGGCCAAGATACAGCAGCTGTTGGAGGATGAGAAACACAAACACATGAAGAACACAACCAAAACGTGTGACTTAATGAGTGGTGTAAAGTAACTAGGTTGATTTACTCAATTCATGTTCTTAAGTAAAGTACAATTACTTTACTTTTCAATTGCTACTTTGTACTTCTACTCCACTACAATTCAGAGTTACATTGTGCTCCACTACATTTGTTTAATACCTTTGGTTACTGATATGAAATACAGCTGGAGAAACATTCACAAGCTACCCTGCAGCATACAAGGTAATACAAACTAGCTGCACCTTTGCCAGGTTTCATTACACTTAAATGCATCAATAATTATATTATCTGGATAATTCATACTTTTACTTTTGCTACTTAAAGTTTATTTTGATGCTAAAGTAACTTTTGGGATGTTTTGACTTGTACTTGTAACAGAATATTCATACACTCTACACTTCTACTTTTAGTTAAGTACAAGAGTTGAGTACTTTTTCCACTCCTGGTTTGAATGACTTCCTTCACTTACAGTCTTGTAAAGCTTGATAACTTGCTCTTTTAAATGGTTGGCCATGTCAGAGCCAAGGTGCCTTGTAGCACTTCTGAAACGAGAATAAAAAGACACATTACGTTAACTGAGATGAAAATGCGAAATAAACAGTCAAACTATTTAAATAGCTCGAATCCTAAAGGTAAATAGTTGCCACCATGCCACTCTGGATTTAGCTAGCTTACGTTACAGCTAGCTTGTTAGTTAGCATTCAACACATACTACAGTAATAACAGACTCTGCAAACGACCATATTAAATAGCGCATTCATATTTACCCGTCTCGTTCAGTTGTAGTGTTTTACTAAAGCGGGTCTACATTTAAGAGACTTTTGCTTTTCTTTGTCCTTCCTGTGACTAGAGTACAGCTCACTGTGGGCACAGTCGTATGTCGTTACGTTGTGTCGTAAAGAAAAATAGATAAACTACGCATGCGTGCACGTTTCTATGGTTACCTGGACGCTTTAGAGCTTTACTTTCAGCATGGTGAGTTTTTACAAAGTTTTCGATTAAATAACCCCCGGTTGGTCTTAAACCTTGTCATGTTTAAATCGTTTTACCAACATGAACTACTATTTTGTTACAAAATCTTGACAGTAAGGATAAAAGCCTAGTAATAGCCTAATAGGATAGTAAATACACTGTGTTGCTTTCGAGTTAGCATTAGCAGGAAATACTTTCAACCGCTTATATTTCTTTTCCGGTTTTTCCCATGTGCCTTGTTTAAAAAAATGCTCTAACTTTCTCTCTTTGTTCTTTCATGTGAATGATAGCCACCCAAGAAAGGAAAGGTATGAGAATATATCAGTCAGCACATTACAAATTCTACATTCATCTGCTTACCATAGTTGGTTGTATGCAGACAGCCACACCATCTCGCTCTTGCAGTGTTTTGTCACTAACTAACTTGTACGGTCCAATCTTCACCTAAGTAATATAACCTTTTTTCTACACACTGATTTGTAATATTTTTCAATTAAAAGGGCAAGCTGACCAAAGCCCAGAAGGTGACGCAGCAGCAAGAGGATGAGGAAAGGAGACTGCAAGAGGAAGGTAATCCTAAATGATGAGGAATTAAAATCTGAAAGAAACTGAGGAAAAGCAGTCTTTTTATTCATTTGTTTGAGCTCCTTCGACCATGCACTGTTTAGCAATCAAAGTAAGTGTCTGTACTCATGTGCTTTTGCTCTATAGGGGAAGCCAAGCTGCAGGCAGAAAAAGAAGAGCAGGAAAGATTGGAAGGAGAGAGGAAGAAGAAGGAGCTAGAAAAGCTTGAACTTAAGGTAAGGCCAATCATGATCACTGGCAATAATGTATATTATCTGACTCTTTTTCCTTGTGAGGATACATTCAGTCTCAAACAGACCCTGCTGAGTAAAGAGCAGAACTGTTAACACCACGATAGACAACTCTTGAAATACACAGTAGTAGATGTACAGTTGTGTTGAGTTTTCATGGGTGTTTTTTGCTGACAGGACCAAGAGCGCAGAGAGGGTGAGCTGAACGAACTCCGCCATCTGCTGGAGGAGAATCACACTGCAGTAACCACATGGAAAACAGATGCTGAGGAGAAAGCCAAGGTGTGTGTTCCTGATTCATACACAGGCATAGAAAACGACTGACTGAATAAATACAAATAATATATCCAATGAATAGATCTCCTATATTAACAAATATGTTGTTTGTGTCCAGTGGGATCGATACCTGCACTGTGATGGCAGCCCAGACCCAGCAGTGCAGAAGGATGTTAACACATACATCAGCTTATGGAGAGAAGACCCCGGGGTCAACATGACACTCGTGCTCAAGCAATGTACTCTGGCTCTAAAGGTCTGAATGTAAACACTCGGATGATGAATCAATGATGATTAAAATGTACAGTGTCCAGGACCACCGCTAGCCTCATCACAACACCATTACTACTGTGTTTCTGCCTTAAACGGATTCATTTCGTCCCTTACAGCTGGCTGAGGAGCTTGAAGGTCTGATCAGAGATAACACAGATCCAAAAGAGGGCCTGAAGTACCAGGAGGGGTTCATACTCCTGCAGGAGCTGATCCATCATAAACACCTCCTCACCACTGATGAGATCCTCCAGGTACACCAATCACAGCTGGACTTACACACTGTGATGCAATTGCTTACTTTAATAAAGGTCATTTTCTTCCTGTTCTTAGACGGCCGGTGCAAACATCGACACTGAGACGGGCAACATGCAGACTGTGGTCAAAGACGACAACATTACTCTGTGTCTCTGGGCCAACCTCAAGAAGAACTCGAGGTCTGTGAAGGACGCTGTGACAATAGAAGAGCGAACATTCATATTTATTATCCTTTAGTATCTAATATTTCTTTCTTTCTCAATTCAGGTTCAAAGGTTTACATTTTGAAGAGGCAGGCCTTGGCTTTGACCTTCCCAAACAGCTGGCTGTGAGCAACATCGCTGTGCGGATCCTCCACACACGTTATGACCATCTGTCCACACTGGCTAGGATGGCTGACCTCAGAATAAACACCCCCCTCCCCAGGTATGTACCCTTAATAACGTATACTACAGCTAATACTCTAACAGTAATGCTGGTAATCCTACCTGTTATTTTTGCTCTCTCTTCTTCTCTCACCTCATCTTTTTGCTCCAAGGTCTCTTGCAGGTGGTGAGGAGGTTCCAGCAGAGATACCTGAGCAGGGGGAGACAAAGAGAGAGGGGGGGGCGGTGGAAGACATTGAGGCACAGCAGCAGCAGACAGTGAATGAGGAGGTGCAGTCTATCCAAGGCCATGAAGGGAGGAAGGTAAGACGCTGGGCGACTAGATTCAATGTGATGTTTGTGTTCTTATTGTGTGTGTTTCTCTCAGAGTGCAGCCAGTGTACAGTCGAGGAAAAGCAGCCCCCAGCCCCCAGAAGGCCGTGGGAGCCGGATCGAGACACAGATGGAGGCACTCGGGGGTAAGATGCCCAGCCTGACGCTTCCAAATGTAAACAAAAAGAAAGCCACATCACACAGGACCTAAACCTGCTGTCACTCAAAAATGATTGACATGTCTGCAACCACATTTACAATATAAATGTTTTCTAGTCTGGTCTGGTCTACATACCTCTTGTTTTTTGTCTCTACAGCTGAGGGGGAATCGACATCTCCCCTAGGGCAGCGGGCCGTGATGGACAGCAGCGAACGTGTCCAGACGGTGGACTTATTGCAGTACACACCTCTGGGGGGGGTCTTCTACTATAACGTGTTTCACCTCCCGCCACAAGCCCACCAGGTTAACGGCTGGGAAATCAGACAGGTGAATAGAAAAGGGGTTTCAGTGCTTGGTACTCACCATGCCCAGCAGCTAATGCTCATGTTTCTTTAGCTGTTGGATAAAGGGCTGCAGGTGTTCCCCTATCCCGAGGAGAAGTCTCACTCAGAGGAAACTGAAGCGGTTACCTGCCCTCCCGTTGGGGTGTTCGTGACTCTGCCCGACTTTGTTGTCTTTCTGGAAACTCCT